CATCAATCTTTCCTCTCTTCTGCAACCGAGCCGACTCCGCCCCCCTGCCACTGCACCCGAGCCTGCAACAGCCCACGCCCCCTGCTGCCTGCGCCCTTTTGCTGCTGCAGCCGACTCCGCCTACCTTCTCCTTCCCCATCAATCTTTCCTCTCTTCTACAGCCCCTTCTCTCCGCCGCCCCTCTTCTGCAACCAGATCCTGCAGTTGCAAAGATAGATCCTACGCCTATGTGGCAGTCAACCGAGCATGAGATAAACCTGCAGGATGACATCACGCTCCAGCTTTCTTGGCTGTCCTGCAAGGCCAGTTTTGGCCTCACTCGATCAACGGTGGAAGGAAAAAGAAGAAAAATTGAAGGGTTTGGATGAGGAGTGAAGGGGGAGTTAGGGTTATGTTTGAGGGGGTATAAATAGGAAGGACCGGTAAAGAGAAGGGAGTCTCTTTTTTTTTTTGGGGTGTGGTTTTGGGTGTTGACGTTTAAGGAGTCTTTTCATTTTTGTGGTTCTGGTGTTGCCGGCGGAGGAAAGGAAGAGTTTTCTGTTGAAAGGGGGCTCGGTTTTGTATCTGGAGTTGACGGAGGGCTTGTTTGTTGTGTCTGCTTTGTTTAGGTAAATCTTTGAACAGAGGAGTTTTCTGGGAACGGTGGTGAAGGGGACGATGGGAGCCTGGTCCCGTGGGTGGGATCCCTCCCATTAGATCTGGATCCATCTTACCCAAAAAGCTCTGCCGTGGGTGTTTTTCTTATTTTGGTGAATATTTCTGCATTTTTTGTTTAATGTTCAAGCTTGTACATGTTCCGTTTGAAAATCAATGAAAATCAAAAATCAAAAAAAATTGTTCAGTTTATTTTCTGATGAATGTGTTGCTGTTGCTGGAAATTACATGAATCCTAGTTTTTCCCGCTTTGGTTGCATGTTTGATCTTCTTTTCATCTATTTTTATGCTTGCATCGTGTTTTTGGGTCGGGTCAGTCCGATTTAATCCAACAAAAAAACTAAAAAGGTTAAAAAGAAAAAAAAAATCAGAAGTTATCTCTTTTATTTCAATTTCGCACAATCCTTTCATGTTCAAGCACTTTAGTCCAAAAGTTTCAAACATTTTCAAATCAGTTCTTTATTTCTATTTTAATCAAATCAGTCCCTTTAATTTTACTTGTGTTCATTGTGTATGCATGTTTTTGATTTCGTCCATTTTAGTCCAAAATGTTAAAAATGTTGCAATTTGGTTTATCTTTTTTTTTTTTAAGTTTGCTTATTAAGACTCAAACATAAATGTAATAAATAAGTTGAATCAAAACCCCAATTTTAAAGTATGCAACCGTGTTTAAACGGAGGATTGTGAGGTGCGCATATGCCCTTCCTCACTCCTAGCCGAACCCCCGAACCTCGATCTCTACGCAGACCCGTTTTAGGTGACTTGTCCCACCTTATAATTTGGACGAGTGGCGACTCCCTCTTTTTTATATTTCACACTTAATTTTTCATTTATTTTGAAAAAAATCTTAAGTGGTCGTCAACAGAACCTAACGGCTATTGGGTTCGAAATCAAACCCAGCACCTATGCCTTCTTCATCTTCATCCACCGACAAAAACCCAACGTCTGCCTTGCCTTCTTCATCTTCATCAATCAATTTCTCATATCATCAAACAACAAAACCCAAACAAAGAAAACAGAAATTTCTTTTTTCTTTTTTAGAACCCAAGGTTGGGTCTTAAGGAACCCAGGGCCTGGGTTTCATCAAACCCAAGGCCTGGGTTTCATCGAACCCAGGCATGCTGCGTTTGGTGGAACCCAGGCATGCTGGGCATCGAACCCAAGCATTGGGTTCAGTGGAACCCAGCAACGAACCCAGCATGCCTGGGTTCGATGGAACCCAAGCCAGTGGGTTCCGTCGAACCTAGGCCACGCCTGGGGTTCGAAGGGGAAGGGGAAAGAGAAAAGGAAAGAGAAGGAAGAAGAAAAAAAAAATTTAAGTTTTATTTTTCATAATATTTTTTTATATTATTATTTTTTCCATGTCATCACTTTTTTTGGTCTTATTGTCTGCCACGTGTATTAATATTTGACATGTCATCCTTTTCCCCGTCAAGTAACAAGACACGTAGGCGGATATTTAACAGAAAGACCAAATCGGGGTTAAAATAGTAAACAATATGGACCAAATCAGGGATTTTTTTAGTTTAGGGACCAAATCAGTGGTTCGTACAATAGTTGAGGGACCAAAATGGGGTTTTAACCATCTTGATTTGATAAATGGCATCTCTAGCTTTAACTCTCAGTGTTCTATTGATGTTATCTTGTATTGGTGTCAAGATTAGGATTTTTGCAACATCCAATCTAGATTTCTTGATAGTGCTATTGTCAAGGGAAACAAATCTATCAAATAAACATGCCACTTTCTCAAAAAAACTACTTTTTCATACGTGTAATGGGACCCCTTGGCATCTAATCTAGGTAAATCTTTCTACAACAACCTCAAATGGGGACCAAGGATGAATTTCTGTGAACCACTGAGCTAGCCAGTCGCGTCCCTCGTCCACCAAGTATTTGAAATCATCAGGATCTTCACTTAAGAGTAACAATAGATTACCACCCATTGGAGTAACCTTTGCTGCAAAGTACCCTTCCATCGTAAATCTTTCTTGCAGAAAGCTTATGATTTCCAGACATTTTGCCTTGCCGATGAAGCATCTCTCCAACCACTCTTCATCTTCCTTATCTACTTGTACTTCTAATCCATGCCCAATCTGTTGTTTTGCATTCATAGCTTCCTTTGATTGCCACACCTTATTGGGAATACTTGAATTGTTCATCTTCCCCTTATCTTGCACACCTGAATCTCCCTTCAAGGCATTAGCATAGGATTTTACACTCTTTACCTCTTTTCTGATCCCTGCATCATTTATTTCCTTTCTCTTAAGCTTAGTCTCCTCCCTGGAAAAGATTGCAATGTTGGCTTTGATGTATTGATCTCCCACAAAGATTTGGTTCAGCTTTATCTCTAGTTCTCTTGTGCTCTTCACGTCCAAGAAGCGTGCAAAACCGAACCTGCGCCCCCATTTGTCACGCTTCCTTGCTATGTAGATCTGAATCACTTTACCACATCTGATGAATGCCTTCCACATCTCTCCTATTTGCCAGTCCTCAGGGAAGTTAGTGAAAAAGAATGAAGTGGATTGTTCCAAAATGCCTTTGCCATATCCATGCGCTGAAGCTCCTTGTCCTCTGCGCCTTTCTCCCACTGTCCTTTCGGTCTCTTGGATGCTACCTCTTAGTGGGTGGAAATGTCTAGGTTGGTCTGGGTTTGGCTTTCGCTCTCTCTCCAGGTGGGGTTGATGGTTACCTTTGGCTGCCGGAGCAACCGGCAATAAAGGTTGATAGTTTCTCACTCTGGGATTTCTCTCTCTCATTCTCATTTTTTTCTTAGGATTTGACTTCACTTCTTGGCTTGGAATCATCCGAGCAAAACTTTGTGTCAATAATTGAGATCGCTGGCTTCATATCACCAATTGGGATAGCCAGATCAATGCGTGAGGAATCTTTTTTGACCGCACTTCCAGCACCATGGTCACCTGCAGCTATAAGTTGATTTACGATCAACCATTGACTGTCCTTCCAACTTCAACTTTTTTTATTATCAGTTTTGTGGTTTGACTGTTTGGGTTGCAGGAAAACAACGAAAATTTTTTATTATAATTAATTGCGATTTTGTTGTAGTTAATGTGTAATTAATTACCCTATCAAAAGATGTGTAATTAATTAATACTTATTAAAATTATTTTTGATAAAAATGAATGATGATAATTATCTTTTTTTTTTATCTTCTAATTATCTCAATTAATTTCACTATTAAATGTTATTGTGATTAATGGTAAATAAATAAAATAAAATTTTATTAGAGTTAATTATAATGTAAGGGCAGTTTTATCTATATAGATAGAATTTTTTGTCTAATCCTACTTTTTGCTTCTTTTTTTTTTTTTTAACATTGGTGAATTTGGAGAGAATAAGGGATTTTTTCAAATAGTTGGTTGGAGTCCAATTTTCAACCAATTAAATCCAAATACTAAGGTCTGGGGTCTAGGAACAAATCATTAGATCCAAAGGTTCGGTTCTTACCCAATCCTACTTTAATTCAATGATCAACCAAACATTTTAATATATCATATAATATCTAATCTGGTCCAATCTTATCTTTAGACTTTATACAATCTAATCCAATCTTGTATTCCAAACGAGCCTTACATGTATGATTCATCTCTTGAGGATTGTGGATAGCACTAATTCAGGCTTAAAATTTTTCAAGTTCTTTATTGTATTGAGGATACATTTTAGTAGCTTCAGATTTTAATTTTTAAGTCGCAATTGCATTATCGAATTTGCTTTTCTTTCTGGAAATGAGATAAATATTTATTTTAAAAAAAAACACATTTACTAGGTAGTCATATCCAATCTACGAGATGCATAGAATTTGTGATTAAAAGGAAAAGAAAAATGAAAAATTTTTACCAAAAAAAAAAGAAAAATCATTTGATTGATAATTACAAAAAAAGGATTAATTATAAGGGTAAAATAGTCTAAATAAATTTAAAAGTGTGACAATAATCTCATCTTAAAAAAAAAAAAAAACTAGTTACACTAAGGCATTTTTAATCGAGCCATGGTTAGCCCAAGTGCATTTTTTCTTAAAAGAAATTATAAAATAAAATAGAGAAGCTGTAACTTAGCAGTTCTTGTCAAGATTGATCTGGGAAATGGCAAGCTGATTGATCAGAATAAAAAAGGGTAGCTGTAACTTAGCTATTCTAGCCAAGATTTATAGAATCTACCATGCAAATCAACAACTCAATAAAACAATTCCAAGTTTATGTGATATTAATCAGTATGAGTATAAAGGTTTACCTGGAAGAATCCCAATTCTCCACAGGCAAAGTCAAGTTTGGCTAATTCTGCTTCCATTGATCCTTCAGAACGCAAGCTCTGCATATCGATAACTGGGATTTCCGACACCGCATCCGAAACAATAGGCTGCTGATGGTCAGTACGGATGTGTCTAGGTGGGATTGTTGTCAAGGACTTACCTCTTGCCAACTCCTGAGAACACAAGGCACCAGCAAGGAATTTCCCAGGTTTATTGCCATTGATTCCATGGTTTTTGCAAAATGATACAGAAAGCAGAAAGTTTCCTAATGGAGCTCTTAATGATTTTGAGCAAGATTTCCAGCTTTGCTTTATTTCATTAGTTATAGCAAAAAGAATAAAGAACGTAAATTGAAAGTCTCTACCTAAGTCTTTCAGAAGCATATTTTGTCATTTCCTCTGAAAGTACAGAATATTCTAATTGAATAAAATTCCAAGATTCCATACCAAACTATTTGACAGGATCTTCTTTGTATATATTTTTTTGGGAAATAATTGTTATATATGGAGTTTGAGATTTTCTTTAATATTAATTTAGTTTAGTTATTAAAAATATAATATAATTATAGTTGATTCAGTTGGTTTCTTTGTGCATATTTATATTTTTAATTTTATTTATTTTTAATTTAA